GCAGGCTGCCAATTGCCTGTCAGCATAACACTGAAGCTTTGAACTTGTGTTCACCCAAGGAAGATGGAGGGATAAGGAGGCTGATCTGGACTATTGAGATGCAGTCATGGGAAACAGACTGCAGAATCTGTTGCCTTGCCAACCAAGCCCCTCAGAGTGTGAGGGTTAAATGTAAAAGACTCTCTGCCAATGCAAATATAGGCTGCCATCTGTTTTCATTACACTCCTTTTGTTACATACTCTAAAACATACACGAATGTGGTGTAGGTGTACAGTTCAGTGGTGCTTTTCACCATGATCCTAATTTAATTTTGATGCGAGAGCAATATGCACACCTGCATAGTAATCACAAGACCATCCATATGCCTCTCAAGGCGCTGTGATACGATAGCATGTGGGCTCCTGGTATAGCACATCTTTTATTGCCATCACAAAAAAAATATATAATCTTTGTGCTGATAAACATTTATAGAATTTTTTGGATGCAGGAACGTTGGCTTGCACTCATTATTGTTGCACTGATCCCAAATAATAGTTATCTTGAAATGAAAGAAAACTTTTTTTTTTTTTAAATTGCCAGTGGTTAACTCTGCTTTGAAATATAAAGCAAACTTCTGAGGTATTGCTAAAGTTTTGTGGCCAACTTAATTTCTGCTTCTGACTATTAGTCTCGACATGAGCCGACAGAGATATGGCGAAAGAAAACAGCAAACTTGTTGCTTAGGAACAGTGAGAAATAACCCTAACTTTTCTTGAAGCATCTGATCTTATCTCCCATGGTGCGCATAGCTCTGTGTGTGTGTGTGTGTGTGTGTGTGTGTGTGTGTGTCGTCGGGGGTGGTGGTGGTTGGGGAGTCAGGTTCAGCAGAGGTTGTTTCTAGGCAACTGTTTTTTTTTTTCTTTTAATATGAAACATGTTTGTTTTTCTGTTTTTAGTTTCTTTCTATTCATTATAGCCTGCTTTTTCACAAATACTATTTCTCATCATTTGGACAGGGTTAACTGGCTCTTTGGTGTATGACCCAGCATAAAAAAAAAAGCTGCTCTCTATCGTTGAGAGAAGGTCCCAACATTCATTACTGCATAATCTATCTGCAGCTATTTTTTAGTAATATATTTCAGAGGTAGTCATGTCCTGTATACAGACTTTCATATTAACCATGCACTAAACCAGCTGTGTTTGGTTGGGAAAAAAATATGAATTCTCTCAACCTTAAATTTGTACGTGCTTGCGTTTGTTTATTTGGTCATTTAGTCAACATAACAATTACAGTGGTGTCTTATGTTTTGTCTTAAACTAATGTTGTGTGCAATCATTTTGTTTCAGCATGTTCTAATTTTGATACAGATGCCGATGCCTGCAGCGTGCATGAAGTGATTTTCGAATATTTTACCTGTAACAGCTGTTGGCCTGCTGTCCAGCGCTGCCTCAGATGGGAGCAGTTCATTAAATTACAACCAGTGAGATGTGATGCAGTAAACAAACAAGTGAACATTTTTCAGTGATATCAAGCCTGTTGCACAGTTTTTAGGATGACATACATGTGTCATGCAGCAGTTTGAAATGTCATCCTGTGACCTTATTATCCTCATGGTTTTAATTGAAGCTGCATTTGTTCATGTGTGCATGTGTGCATGTGTGCTTGTGTGTGTGTGTGTGTAACAGGTGCAGATATATTTCAGGGCATTTGTCCAGTGCAACATTTTATCAGTTATTTCTCATTATTATAAGCTGTTCTGCACAGTTCCTGGGAGGTAAACAATCATCTATTTCAGTGGAAAAAACATATATGCTACAAAAACATACTGTGCTATTTCATTTATTTCATATTCACAGACTGACAGTACAGGCAGAGCAGCAACTAATTACAGCGTCTACCCCCTACTTATTCCTCCACACATGCACACACATCAATTGTACTGAGGTCTTTTACAGTAGAACCCCTGTGATATCAGTTTTAATTGGCTATACGTGAGGTGTTTAATTAGGGGCTTTGAACTGGATGTTTCAAGGTGGAAACCTGTGGTAGATTCTGTGTTTTGTCAAACCCTAATTAAAATCCTCATGACATGACCTCCACATCACCCAAACACACTTATTGTGAATGGCAGTTTGCATGTGCGCGTGTTAGAGGGCAGACAACCCACTGCTTCCACTAACAAGGAGATCGCAGGTAGCATCAGTTTAACTATCTCAGGCAGTCGTGTGCTCTCATGATCCAGACAGTGCGGTGCAGGACGGCATGTCTGCTTGTTCAAATCACTTCTGATAAACCTCAGTGATGATGGGGGCTTAATGACATGTAAAACTGTATTAGTCCATATCGTCTCATTGCACATCAGGTCACTAAAATAATTAAATACAAATGTAACTTGACTTCTTCCACTCATCTATACTACACATCCACTATACATCCACTGATCTATATAAGATGACACACTGGCATTTCACCAAACTTGTAGTTTAAGAGACCAGCTATTAACAAAATAGACAGAAAGTATTGTCCAGTGGGCCGTGGATATCTAAATATGTCTATGTTGTACTTTTAAATGCCTTATATTCATCATAAAGCATGTCATATAACCGTTGTCTTGTGATATAATTCTGATATTTTATATCTTGTCTGCTTCCTGTAAAAGTAGTATTTATTGATTATATGATTAAATGTAGAATTTAAGTTCCTAATTTCTAATGTTTTTCATGTTTAAATTCTGACTCAGTCATGATAAAGTTTGGTTAATACACTTTGGACAATAATGTAACTGACTAAATCTGATATGTTGTATGCCATAAACAAAGTAGAATGCTGTCAATAAACCAATAGCTGTAATAAGTACAGAAAGAAATACGTATTTAACTTTGAAAGGTAAATTTAAGACTTTTTAAACTTCCTTTCCAACTGATAACCTGTTGGTTCACATGTTCAAGTGATTCCTTTGTGAGTTATTTCAGTTCCAGCAGGGAATACATCCAATTAAAGAAGCAAAATGCTGTTTCATGGGGACTTTAATTGTGGCACCAGTCTGACGTCAGACCACAGGAGTCTATTTCAAAGCAATGTCCCAGAACAAGGACATTAAAAGGAATAGATCCATGGCCTAATTTAAGTGCAATAAAAAGGCATAAGATGTTATGGTATCAATAAACTCTATAAGAGGAAAGCAAATCCTCTGGACTGGTTCAATGCTGCATGGCCCTTCTGTTCTATCTTATCTTCAAAATTCAACTCAGAACTTGGTAAATATGAGCCATACAAGATGCAGCTAATCCCTCTTATAATTTACATATTTATATTAGATTACTTATCTTAAATAGTATACTGTATATGTGACATTTTATCAATCAAACTGCCTTCCAATTTCACAGAATCTTTAATCATATCTTTATAAAATCTCAACCATGTCCTTCTTTCTCAACATAAGTTTCATGTTGCATCCAAAGACATAAATGTTATGAACTCTGCACAGCCGTCTCTCTTTAGAAGGTTAGATAGTGCCCTCTGTTGCAAAAAATGAAAACTACAGCTTTGATAACTGATTTCCAGCTGACAGTGAACTCATACCATTAATCTTTTATTCCACAGTAACAGCAAAAAGGCAGATTTGGACATCTGTAAAACTACAGTACAATTATGGTTCCTTAACTTTGACATATCAGTATTGTTCATACCATTAATTTTCAACCTTTAGACAAAAGTGAAGATCAAAACACAAGTACAAAAAAAGGAAAGGTTGTGGCTCATTTGAGGCATACAAAAAGAAATAAGAATATAAAGTACAAAAGCTAGTTAAAAAACGGAGTCTGTAGCAATCTAGTGGTCCATGAAATGAAATATATTATCTTATTTTAATGTGCTCATGTACAGTATATGTAAATATACTGACCCACAAGGATGGACTTGGTCATTGCAGCAGCAAAGGTTAAAATATGTATTGTTACTGCATACGATTGATTTAATACACTCAATTCCTCAGCCTGTCCATCAGGGGTGTGCATTCAGGGCTCAGGGTTTTTAGCCTAAAGTGGTTACTTGTCACAAATGAGTGAATAACCCTTTTTCAGAGCAGCCATTCTGACATGAAATAGCAGGGTAATCACAGGTGTTACCAATTATACTAATTAAGGCTCTGTTCCATTTAGTATAGCAGGGCCTTTCCTGTAAGCTCACATTTACAATAGCAGCACACTGACTCTGTCTGAATTTGAATTTCATGTCAAATGGCTGCTATGAAAAAGGTCTATTCAGTTTGCAAAGTAGCATTTCTTATTACATGTTATCCGGTTTCCTGAGCAGAGCATCTAAATATGAGTGTATATGCCCGCTGTCTGTTGCTGTGAAATGTTTCCAAGGCAGCTGACTCATAGCACAAACATGTTTAGGCAAGAAGTCAAATGTCATATTGCCCAAGAGATCCTGACACGGTTTCTCCCCAGAGAGTGGGTGAGCACAAACCTCACACTCAGATTGCTTAAAGAAGGAAGAAAGTCAGTCATTGTGTCTTCTCATTGCCCTACTGTTTAAACCTATAAAAACCCACGATACATCACTGCCTCAGCACCAAACGGCACATAAACAAAGTCAGCAACCAGCTGGTGAGCATCTAAAAAGGGCCAGATATTTCACTCAGCAATATAATAATAATAATAATAAACAGAGCTAAAAGATGTGAGCATTGGACTTCCATTTGTCCAGGGGGCCAGAAATATTACTCCAAATGAATGATAAAGTTGCTCTGTTGGCCTAAAAAGTTCATCTCATCAACTGAAAAGCTGATTTGTCAGTGAACATGTTTCCACTGCCCAGTGCTCAAAAATATTTAAATCAAACGCTTAATTGCAAAAGCTACAATTGCTCTGTGTCAGAAAACGATAAACAGAAGAAGTTAAGAGAACTGGAGACAGAAAGTAATTAATTGGGTTGTGTATGTCTAAATTTCTTTCCTAGGGGAAGTCAGGGCCATTGCTCTGGGGGAAGTCCTACCTCAGTGCTGCCTCCGGTGGGCGGTGCTAACAGGTCATGTGACAGCGGTCGTCAGCGTTGCGGTTGCGACCATGTGGCTCTACAGACCCACTCTGTTGTTAGGTTTGTTCGGGAGCAGAGGAATAGTGAGAGGCATGGTGAGTACACAGGGCACATATAACGTTCGTTTATTTCTTTATGTGTGCCGTGGTTCAAACCCTTTATGTACCTGCTGCTGCCTGCAGGCTGAACAACGCGTAAGGTCAGATATAGGGTTTCTATTTTTAAATAGGGTGTAACTGACAAATGGTTCCGATGTAGCTGCAGCCCCCAGCGCTCGCTTCGTGCTAAAAAAAAAACACAAAAAAAACCCCGACAACGTCGCTAACATTGCTAACGTCAATTTAACGGCCACGGAGCGTTAATAATAAACGGTTTATCTTTCTCTCCAGACTCAGTCACACAGATTTAACCCTGAGGTTTCAGTTTCTCTGTGTTGAAAGTGCGACCGGTGTCATTAGCTTGCTGTGCTACAACGTTAGCGTCGATATAACGTTACCGTGGAGGGATAAAGATACCGTTAATGTTAATCCGTGGTGGTAATCTGCGAACCAGGTGATGTTGCTATAGTAACATAAAATCGGGAGAAGCTCCACGGTTCATATGTCATCCTTAAAATTAAAATCGTAACGGTTTACGTGAAGTTAATCAGATCCTAAGTTTTTCATGTACTGTATTTTATACTGAAGTAACGTTAAGTAGAAATGTATGCCGGTGACTAGTTATGAGGTTAGCCCAATGTTAATGAGTGTAAAGGGCGCGGACATGAACGATGACACAAATGGGACAAAGAGCACTGAGCATTAAGAGCAGTGACTAACTTCATTGCCCGCCTTCCCATTTATCTGATTCATCTTGTTTGTGTCTTGTGGCTTCAGATAACTTTTGCCCTTTGCTTTGCATTCGTGGACTTTAGCCCAGACAAACCTTCGGCTGTCTTACTCAATCAACACACACTCACCTAACTTTACATGCAATCCAATCCTCTTCTCCTCTTCTTCACCTCCATGCAGTGTGCTCAGGTGGGAGACTGGCAAGGTGCCAAATCAATATACGAGTTCTCTGCCAAGGATATTGATGGCAATGAGGTGTCTCTTGAGCAATACAGGTAATATTTATTATAATGTATCATGCATGCATAGAGTTTGTTAGAGTACTATAGGGTGTTGTAAGTCATGTTTAGACTTCACAAATAAGCCATAGTTTGCAGATGTTTTCACAGTTTAACCTCTTGTTTGTTCTGTTTGTCCCTGCCAGAGGGTTCGTGTGCATTATTGTAAATGTAGCCTCTAAATGAGGAAAGACCAGGGTAAACTACACTCAGCTAGCGGGAATGCACGCCTCCTATGCTGAGAAAGGTTTACGCATCCTGGGCTTCCCCTGCAACCAGTTTGGAGGACAGGTAATAAGAATCATTGTTTTCATTTTCGTTATTTTGTCACACAACACGTGCAGCACTTGTAATCAAGGACTGCCCATTGTCCCGAGTACAAAGATACATCATCTGGAACAATTCTGGGACAGCAGAGAAATTTGTCCTTACAAATAAAGTTATTATTCTCTCTCGCTCTGTCTCTCCGGATCTCTGGATAAGGGTGTTCCTATAGCTTATATGTCAATAGTTTGTATTAGCCTGTAAATATGTAAATAGTTGTTTGACCTTCTTTCCCTCCAGATATCTGGGCTAGGTTGTTCCTATAGCTTATATGTCAATAGTTTGTATAAGCTTGTAAATATTTAAATAGTTTGTTTGAGCTTCTCAATGTCCCTGTTGTGAGTCTAATAATAATAATAATAATAATAATAAGTATAAAGTGTGCGTGTGTATGGGCATTTGTGCTGCAGTTTGCAATGATGCATTTAACAGTTAGAAATAACCATGAAACAGTAACTCAATGAATAAATAATTAAACTGATTACGGCTAATAGGGTGATCTTACATTTTTAATTCAGATATAAGTGGAGGGAACAACTAGAAGAACATCTGTGGCTGACCAGAGTGAGCCAGTAAAGTGATGCCAGTTACTGAGACAGAGTTGTTCAACTACATTCATTATGTTCACTTTGGGTCAATGGTTGTTAAGTCTGGGACAGTTGAAAATAGAATTTGTGACGCTGCTGAAAAAAGTCAATTTTGAGCCCTGAACACGATCCATGAACTGTTAAACTACTGGCTGTTCATCTTAAACCTTTCCTGCAGCTCATTGTTCTTTTTGAATGAAGTGATTTGGCAGGATAAAAGTCATTTAAATAATTATTCATTTATGCACCTTCAATTCAAACAAGCATGTGAGCCAGATTCTTGCATATTTTAGATGCATGACTGAATACATTTATTCATACCATGCAAAGCTTTATTAACTCGGTTACAAACGTATATTTCCAAATGTTTTAACTTGGATTTTTTTGTGCATGATCCAGGAGCCAGGTACTGATGCAGAGATTAAAGAGTTTGCCAAAGGTTACAATGCAGAGTTTGACCTCTTCAGTAAGATAGAGGTGAATGGAGACAACGCTCACCCTCTGTGGAAGTGGATGAAAGCACAACCCAAAGGCAAGGGAACCCTGGGAAAGTGAGTTATTGCCTTATTTTTGTGTTTACGCTGAAATTGTTTTTCTTTGAGTTGATTAGAATAACTGCTTTAACCATATAAAGCTATATCATGATAGAGCTTTGTTTTCTGTACATCAGTGTTAGTAATGAGTATTATGTGGTGGGTACTATTCTCAGTCGTAGGAGATGCTGAATGAAAAGTGTCATTATATTAATGTCATCCTACAAGAGAAGCAACATAGTTAAAGAGGGGAGAAAAGATTACACACTTGGTCTTATTCATAGTTATGACCATGATTCCCGTTATATTTTACTCAGCAGTTTCACATTAAAAATAGAATTTTAAATTTTTCACTTTGGGTAGCAGGCTGTTATGACATCATTATAAACCCTGTAATGGAGACACTGTGTTTCATACATATCCTGTTCAGTGTCTTTTACTTCACCCCACTACTTTCTTCCTCTTCTCATTCACTTTGGGTGAGGTTGTGAAATGTTCCACAGCTGACAGTAAGCTGTTATTGAAAAAGGCATTAAAGTAATTTTGTTGCTCATGTGCTACTGTATAGGGCTGCACAATATGGTAAAAACATTATATAGTGATTATTTTGACAGATATTGTGATGTGAGTCATGGAAAAAGTCATTTTTACATAACAAATTAAATTTTCATTGAAAAAACTATTAAAATCGTCGTATGATGATATTGCATTGTCCAAACAATCAATACAATATCCTATATCCTGTCTGGGAGTGTACCAAGCAGAGAAGTAGATTATGTTGCAGGAGTGTGTTGAAAAGTTATTCTATGAATTTCGTAATTGTCCAAACTGATCACTACTGTAACCAACTTGAATTGTGTCTGACTACACACTCTGTGCTCCATGAAGGATAAAACAGTAGTATTGGGGTAATGTCTTAAGATTGTTGTACTAATATGTTATTTTTCCTCTCTTGACAGTAACATCAAATGGAACTTCACAAAGGTAATTTCCTGATATAGTTCACAATCTATATTTTTAAAAAGCATCTTCAGTTAAATTTTGCTTAATTTTTTTTTTTGCCTGCTGAAAACAGATTTTGTGCTCATATTATGGTGTCTTATTCCTCAACAGTTTCTGATTAATAGAGAGGGACTAGTGGTGAAAAGATATGGCCCAACAGATGATCCCAGCGTAAGTAGCACTCGCTGTGCTTTTAGTAGTTTTTTTGTGCATGCTGTGAAATGGGGCACTTTGCATATGATGTTGGTGCATACCAAGGTTTGCTGCTATTGTGATTTTCTTAAAGTTTTGTAAATCTCAACCTGTTATTCAGGCAGTAATCAATGAAATGGTGCCATTCCCCATCTCTGTCATAGTAACATTTCTACTTATTTCTCTTTGCAGGTTGTGGAGAAGGACCTGCCAACGTACCTGTAATACTGCTGTTTCCCATGTGTTTGACTCCTGACGTCTCCCATGGACTTTTGGGTATTGGTGTGTGTGTGTGTGTCTGGACCAGTGACGGCCTGTCTGTAAACCCAGCTTTGGGAAGGGCAGGCCTGATGATCCCCAGCGTGCAACTAACCTCCAGAACTCACCCACACCAAACCCATGAGACCATGTGAGAGGACATTCAGTAGTTATTTAAAGTAGAGGCCCTTCACATCTTACTTCAAACTCAAAACAGTCATTCCCTTTTCTTATACATTTACAATCTAGTCCTTTCTGAATGTTAAGTGACAAGTTTGTTCATGTGTCAATGTCAGCTTTATGTTTTTATGCAAGGACATAATATGCCATACATTTCACAGATCTCTGTAAAGCTACTGATAATATTATTTGCACTTAACTAGGCCTGTTATTTTGTCTGTAACTCCTGACTAATCATGTTATGACATTGAAATATAAATGCTCTCTTGGACATCATTTGTCAATTTACATGCACCTATTAAAATCTAATTTGAGCCATAGTAATGTTTACCTGATGGCTTTGGGAGTGGTAACGATCTGTTTATTTAGATTTTTTAATTCTTCTTCTTCAGTCAGCCTAATTGTTTAGATATTTTATAACTAATGCAAGGTTTTACATTTCAACATGTAAACCAAATTATGTGTGCCTAACAGTGATTTCCTTCCTTAGTAATGCTTGTACTGTAAGTCTATTTCCTCAAGTACAAGTAAACATGCTTTATACCATTTTTTAATTATCAAAAAACATAATTTTATAAAAAAAAATTATATTTATGTCCTAAAGCTTAATTTTACAGGTCTGTAATATACCAGTTATTTCTGGTTAGGTTTCATGGAATTTATAGTAATTGTGAAAATAGAAAGTTCCTCAAGAGAATAGAAACCAAAGTAAATATTGATAAATTAGACTTACAATTGAAAACTGTTCTCCTTTAAATATTGAATGATATGCTTGCCTGCCTTGCCTTCCCTTTCTACAATTGAAAGGAAAAAAATAGACTGTAAAATAAACCTCCAACATGTTCCCTTTTCACCCACCATGAAAAGAAAGAATTGATAAAAATTAAATATGATAAAACTGTTACCTCATATGTCAAAAAAATAAAATCTCATAATTGTAACTCACACCATACAAGTGATAATTTACATAACTTCCTAGAACTGTTTAATTTAGTGAGTGTAAAGCAGTTTAATGGGAAATCATATTGTGGGAGCATTTCTCTCTAACACTGACCTAGGTTGCTTTCCGTAGCTGAGAAATTAAGGGAATAATTCAAATGAGTAGCTAGCAATTGAATGTGTGTAAACTATTCTACTCTTTAATTTTCTTACATGAGTATATTCTTATATTCTTCTATATCAAGTAAGAATTGAACTATATTTGGATTCAGTGGTGCTGGTTATAATATAAATGAACCTGACTGGTCCCACCCAGAGCTACCACACAGTATATGATCCCTCAGTACACAGTGACGGTCTAACGGCTGTGCGCTCAGTGCGCTGCTGTAGCGGCACGCAGCCGTTGATGACGCACAGTAGCGGCAGAGATGATCAGCACCGCTGGCTCTGGACGTGTTCGCTGCGTGTGTCTGTTTACAGCCGCAAATGTACCTTCATGGAGAGTTATGTAGTCTGTAGTAGTACCAGGAAATATCGACGGAGGTGAAAAATGACAGCCTTTGTAGACTGTTTCGAAGCGCGTACCGTGTAGTCTCGTTCTCGCCGAGGAAGGATACGGCTGCGCGTCGTCGTCAGGCACCCTCCTGGAGATGGACGGGAGGACTGCGGAAACCGGGAATGACGGGAGGACGGATGAGGAAGCGGCCGCCGGCCCCTGCCTACAGCTTGACCTGGGGGACACCGGTCCGTATGTCTTTCAGTTACCGTTAGAGTCGTTTATTGTGCGACAAACAGTCAGATAGTAGCCCCGTTGTGAGCTTATTCAAACCCAGCTTCCAGCGGCAGCAGATGGGCATAGAAGTTGGACATAAGTGGGCAGCGTCCTACCATTCAATCATATGTAAATGTGGCTAGGCACATTGACTGGGGGGTGGGGAGAATATATATATATATTTCTGCCACTAAATTAGATGCAGAAAATTGTAGATAGAGGAACCTGAGCTGTGAAATGAATAATAAATTGCTTGGTTAGATAACAGTGTCAAGATTCAAGTCAGTGCTGCTCTGTTGTAAATGGCTCATAGTGTCAGTGTCTCACTGCAGCCTGGCACAGGCACAAGGTGCACATTAGGGATTTGTACTCCACATGAGTGTGTGGGCTATTTACTTGTGGGGTATACACAGCATACATTAGTCATTTGTATGTACAGCAGCCACTAGTGAATACATACATTGGTCTGTCAGGTGCTGTTTTGCTCCTCTACTTAACCTCTGTCTGTCTTCATCATTCTTACCACGTCTCTCTTCCTCTTCCTCGCTAAATCTGAAGAGTGCTTTACATAATCTGATATGGAATTATAACATAAAGCACACACTAATCCCCTGTGGGTATCAGTTCAAAGCATAGCTGTGGATGTCATGGCTCAATACTACAGAACATGCATGACAGTTATATGATGTGCAAATGTTAAAGAAAGATTTAATCAGCTAGGAGGTCCAACATTTCGTCTTTGCATGTGCATGTATACGCAGTTACGTTGCATGTTTTTGCACAGATGATTATTATTAATACCACCAGATTATAGTTGTGTGCAGAGGGCCACGGGGCATAAAAATCTACTCCTGTGTTCAGTGTCACATTAGTGTCACAGCAACAGGCTGTCACTTTCTCAGCTAAGGGAGAGATCTAATCCTCTTTATATGACACACGCACACAGGCCTTAAGGGATACTTCTCTTACCATCGACATAAAATGTTCAATTGCAAGGATATCTAAGTAAATGTAAATTTCTTTAATGTATCGGCTTTGATTCATACAGGTAGCCTGTTTGTCACATAGCAATCAGAAATGCTACAATGACTTTGTCCTGTTTGTTGCCTGCAGCTCAGTGGCACATTATTCTGGCCTGACCCTAATCCCACAGAGACTCTTTGTGTGTGCAGATACACCTTCTCATTGTTCTGCTTGACAGGCTTTGATGCAGCGTTAATCTGCACGTTACAGGTGTGGCCAGCCGTGTGTCCTATCACTGCACGGGGGCCTAAAAGAGATCAATGGAATTAAAGGGATAGTTATTTTTGTTTGCACAGTTGCATGCTGAATTTCTTTGCCACGATTTTCTAAATGTTATTAATGCTTTCTCAATAGTCCTGTATGTTCTTTTGCACAATTAGTCCAGTCCAATATGAAAGCATCGCTGTGCCTAAGGAAAGCCTTACAGAGCCGCCTGCATAGCTATAGACTATTGTCATTAATGCAGTTGCCATTGTAAAGCAGCTAAAGAGTCAGAGCAGTGGTAAACGTGTACAAGTACATGGCGCCAGGGTCATCAGGATATTTAATCAAATATGCTGTAAGTTAGTTTTAATTTTCAGTTTTAATTAAGAATTCAGGTTGTGTGACTCTATAAATGTATTTTGTTTACACCGACTGACCCACCAAGGAGAAGTCATTAGGTCATCAGTATTATGTATTATGTTGAAGATCAACTATCATTGTGTTCTGTCGTGCCTTAGTGATGGCAGACTCTTCTACAGTGTGTGCTGTTCTTAAACATGGCTTAAAGATTCATTATCCGTGCTCTGTCAGCTGCACTTCCTTAATCTTCACTCTCACATGACCTGAAATTTAGCATAATGATGTAAACAAGTAGTTTGTAGTACTGTCAAATGCTATGAGCTCTTTTCCCCTTTCACTTCCTTCCTTCCTGCTCTCTCTTCCTCTTTATTACACAGACACATACGGACACAGTCCAGTTGTGTCCTTAATGTCAGTGGCAAAGATTCCTCCTAATCCTCATGTGTGATTGGTTGACGATGTGATCTGGAGACCTCAGCCAATGGCAGCGCTGAGATTAGGGAGGAAGTCAATCCAATAGAGTTTTTACCTTCTCTGTACAAATCTCGCTGATCCAGGAATAGAAAACAGTGACCGCAGTCTACAGTGGTCTGTCTACTTAATGTCAGGCTTTGGTTTAGCAAGGAATTTTGTCTTTCTGGATTATCAAACAATTGGTAACGTGTAGGCTCTGAACTCTTCTGCTGGTGAGTTTACCACTGCATTATTTGGAACAAGGTTGGTGAAGTTAAACTTGCCAAATTATCTAAAAAAATTCTCACTACAAGGGCCATTAGTAGCTGGGGTGTTTGATGGTATCACACAATGTTGCTCAGCAGATGTTGTTTATTCCAGTTGTAATCGAGTTACATATGTTCAAATTTCCACTTTCATGTGTGCAAATATGATATTTGGATGATAACACATATGCTGTGTAAAAATAACATGCAGATGGGCTTACTTGGTTAAATAAATGTTAGGTAAATAAATAGCAATGAAAACGTATGCCCTGATGAAGGGTTGGGTTAATTGTGCTGTGTACACCTTATGATTGCTTAAATTTAACTGGGTAACAATTGCCAACCTCAGTGTGAGTCTGATGGCAACGTTGGCAACGTTTCTAAATCCTTAATTGCTAAATCATGCTTAACAATGTACCAATGTGGACACTTCTCCTCTCCTAATTTTCCTGCATCTTCTCTCTCTGTCTCTGTCCACAGATTCAGCCAAGCGGGCTCAGATAACAGAGGTGAGAGGCTACTTCACACTATACACACGTCTGGCTCACCTGTCTCTGTTGCTTTCTTCTTCTCTTTCCCTTCTCTTTATTGGTTTGTTGCATGATTCAATTACATATGACCTTTGATGAGACGATATACAATTAGAACAGTTCCTATATCACGTATACATTTGTATTTCCCTTTTCTTTCCATGTGACAGATGCCGTCCCCATTCGGAGTGGGCCTAGCCCATGAGAAAAAGATTGGCCACAGGAGGGTAGATGCCTCTGGAGAGACCACATACAAGAAGGTATGTTCATCTGTGTCTCTATTTGTCTTTGCCTTTTGTATTAAATACTGTTTCTAGGTTTGCTTGGCGTCACGATTTCACAAACTACTTTCTACCCACACCTTACACTGTTGTTCTTTTCTCTCTTCTCCGCCTCCAGACCACCTCCTCTGCCTTGCAAGGGGCCATCCAGCTGGGTATTGGATATACCGTTGGCAACCTCAGCTCCAAGCCTGAGAGAGATGTGCTGATGCAAGACTTTTATGTAGTGGAAAGCATCTTCTTCCCCAGGTGCGTTTATACGAGTGGATTTGTGTTTATGTGCACGGGTGTGACAATGATCTAATGTCATCTTTTACTCTTCCTGTTGTCCCATCTTGCTCCATACAGCGAGGGCAGTAACCTCACTCCAGCCCATCACTACCCAGACTTTAGGTTTAAAACTTACGCCCCTGTGGCCTTCCGCTACTTCCGAGAGCTGTTTGGGATCCGACCAGATGACTACCTGGTGAGACATTTATTTTCTCTGATAACCTGTGACAGGATTTGAATGTCTTACAAAGTTAATTCATAAATGCCAATTCATTCTATTATTTAAATAGTTGGACTATTTCCTTGTCTTTGACCACAAAAATACAGATCTAATAATGTTTATATTTGCATTGGATATGTAAATGTATACATTTTTATGTATATTTTGAAAAACACTGCTTAATTCATTATTAAATGTAGCAATAACATAGAATGTAGTAATAAAACAAATTGCGTTATACCTTATTACATGCTCAAACTGGTAATTTGTCTGTTCAGTGTTCTGAAAAATCTGTGTTTTGTTTTTCTTGCTCGTTGCATTTTATTTGATAGAAGTGTAACAGTTAACACTGTATGATCTGACTTGACATTTTCTAAATTTAGGTTTGTGTGAAGTTCCCTCTGAAATCATTCAAAGGATGATCAGTGGAGTTATCAAAGAAAACATGCCTCCTGCCTCAGCAGACCTCTGTTGCTCTGAAGATGAATGTTAAATGCCTTCACACTTAAAAAGAAGAACTGTGTACATGCAAACATAAAAATAAAAGTTGCACATGCCCATGCATATTTTGCATGTGAGGCTGCACACGTGCGCACAAACACACACACACACACACACACACACACACACACACACAGGGACCCACAGTGTTCTCAGCTGCACGTTTAAGCTCACATTTTACCTGTGCTAGAGGGAGATTAGCAGACTAAAGCTTTCTTTTTTAAACTCCAAGTAGTGGCAGCAGACACTGAGAGAGTAGTTTGGGTTTGTGTCTACATGTGTTTGTGTTGGTGGTGGAGAGTAAAAGTAAAGTAAAATTGCATAAGTGTTAGAAAATTAAACTACTTTCCTAGAGAAATTAACACCAAGCAATGGGCACTTTCTCTTACTTTTCAACTTAAGTCTCCAGATTCTAAAGAACTTCATTAGAACTCACTTCATTATTTACAAAGTCCTAATTGCTCTACTTCACAGTAAGATATTCAGTGTAAATGTAAGCAGTTTATAATGTTTGCCTGAGGTTAACACAATTCCTTGTAGTGCACAAGGTATTCAGCACCAGTAGATGAAAGTAACACTTCCAAAGTTAAGTAAGCAACTTCACTCTACAATAAGTTGTAAATGTCATAATGTACAATTTAGACTCCTCTAGATGTGTAATTCTTCCCACCCACACCCTTCCCTTTTGCACTCAGTAGTATACACACACTTTCACGTTAAGTTCCCTTTTTGCTGCTGATGAGCAATGCTATGTGAGTGGGTGGATGTATTAGTCTTTTGGGTGGCTATTTGAAAGCTCTGTTGGATCCAACATTAACAGTGCTATGCAGCCCTGAATTTTATGAGAGATTGTAGTTTAACTCTTAAACTATCAATCATAAAATGACATTTGCAAAGACCTTTACCAGATGTCAGGCAGAAAAATTAATACAATCTGCTTTTATGGATGTTGAAACAGGGTCAGATTTTAGACTTAAAATGAACTTAAATTTTAATCTCTGTTTGTTCTCTGCTCTGTCTAGTATTCTCTGTGTAACGAGCCACTGATCGAGCTGACAAATCCAGGAGCTAGTGGCTCCATATTCTATGTAACCCGCGATGATGAGTTCATCATCAAAACTGTTCAGCATAAAGAGGCAGAGTTCCTACAGAAACTCCTTCCTGGATACTATATGGTAAGTCAAACTGAGCCCCTCCCTCATCAATTCAGTAGCCGTTTCCAAATTGTTTTAGTATATTTGTCATAACAATATATTAGATACTGTAACTTGTATCCTTTTTCATTACTACTAAATAACCTACATGACCCTGAGAGGAATTGGAAAATGAAAACCTTACCGCATGTTTTGTAATAGTGTGTCTATTCAGAGATTTGGGTGTGTGGGCGTGGGGTGTTTGTGTACATGAGTGCATGCTTTAGAGCAACACAGCAGCTGAAACTTCTAGTCATCTTTATCCTCTTTATCCTACCCACTGGCTCCGATCAGCTGTGACGCCAGCAGTCACAGAGGCCGGAGCCCGGGTTAAGCACTCTTTAACAGGTTAAGCATGCAAACAGGAGAGACACAAGAATGAGCTGAGCCCTGTGGATAGATCAAGCTGTCTGGCAGGAGCATGGCACTGCGACCGAAAAACATAGACTGCATGCCTTATTATCAAATAAAGTACCATATTTCTCTCATTCTCCCTGTTTCTTTCCTTATGTCTTCCGCATCCACCCCCATCTCCAGAACTTGAACCAGAACCCCCGGACTTTGCTGCCAAAGTTTTTTGGCCTCTACTGCGTCCAGTGTGGGGGCAAGAACATCAGACTTGTTGTGATGAACAATATTTTACCGCGCTCTGTACGCATGCACACCAAGTTTGATCTGAAGGGCTCCACATACAAGAGGCGAGCATCCAAGAAGGAAAGAGAGAAGTCCAAACCCACTTTTAAAGACCTGGACTTTTTGAGCGACGTTCCTGAAGGCCTCACTCTGGACCAGGACACATACAGTGCTCTGGTCAAAACTCTGCAGAGAGACTGTCTGGTGAGAAAGAGAAGTGGGAGATGGATGAAGAGTAGTTTGTAAAAGTAGATTAACACTGTGCATTCTATTTTATTTTAACCATGCCCCACAACCAACCACACATAAACTATTTAACTATTTTCTCAGTAGTTGATGCTGTAAATAAGTAATTAAAGAGCCATTAAAAGGTAGGATGAAACAATAGAGAAAGAGAAGGGAAGTATTAAGGTACATTTTTGCCAATCCCCAAGCTTTTAAATCAAATCCATACATAAAAAGTAAAGTATTTTTTTCAGGAGCTAAATATTTTGAAATATAATGTGTGCATTTTTCATCAGGTTCTGGAAAGTTTTAAGATTATGGACTACAGTTTGCTGCTCGGGATCCATAACAAGACCCAAGCGGAGCGAGAGCGACAGTCTCAAGGCTCTCCTGCAGGAGGCGGGGATGAGAAGAAGCGTGCAGCTCAGAGAGCCTTGTACTCCACTGCCATGGAGTCTATACAGGGAGGCTCCACATGCAGGGACACACTGGACCACGATGACACGTAAGTCAACATTTTATAGTGTTTACCCTTATCATCTCATTACATTTACAAATGATGGTAATGTTCTAATGTCTGTCTGTAGTATGGGTGGCATTCCAGCTGTGGGTAGTAAAGGAGAACGCCTCCTGCTGTTCATTGGAATCATTGACATACTGCAGTCCTACAGGTAAGCAACAAGACATTCAGAAGTTAAGCTGTCATGTAATATCAGTAAATGAATACATTAACTTTGAAATATTTCACTAACAAACAAAGCCAACTGTAAGTGTTGGAAGAAAAACAAGTTGCGAGATTCTCCTTACAGCTCTAAGCATCAGGATTTATGAGACACACAAACCACTAGCAGGATGTTGTGCGATGCATAGCATAAAATTTAGTTGTTAACAACGTTGCAAGTTGTACTGTAGCTGGTGGTTGCCAGGTGACATTAAGTCACTGAATGAGCTTAACTAAATAATTTAATTGTCTTTGTCTGACAGAATGATCAAGAAACTGGAGCACTCTTGGAAGTCCCTCATCCATGACGGGGTGTGTACCTTCCACATAACTGTTATGTATCTATATCCAAGCAAACTAAACCTCACAAAAACATATAATATATAATATATATTGTTCTTAAATATATTTTGTGTTTCAGTACCTTGATTGCTATTGTGTTTGAAAAGTGCATTAAAAGTCCCTTTACTCAGTCTCCCTTTTCCACTGCTGCTTCCGCTTCCCTCACAGGACACAGTGTCAGTTCACAGACCTGGTTTCTATGCTGAGAGGTTCTACAAATTCTGTAGCACCACTGTCTTCAGGAAAAGCTGCTGTGAGTTTACAACTGTGCATGAGCCATAATCGCTGACAGTGTTTTATGTGTGATGACAACAGGGCCAAAAATGCAGTATTCATTATCGGGACATTTTACAAAATTTTTAGAATGAGACATTTTTTTAAACTATGCCCCGATTTCACAGCACTGCGATCGTCTCCATCTAAAAGAGGACGAGGGGCTCTTTCCATGTCCAAGTCCGGTGCTGGAACAAGTTCAGCGGGGCACCGTCCCTCAGTGAGTGACGAGAAGCAGGAAAACTTAGACAACTTGGAGAACCTACGTGGAGCTCGTAGCTTCCCCATGCTGGAAGATAATGGTAATTAACTTCTTGTAAATTGTATTAGTCCACAATGATATTGATGCTTAATACCAAACACAATAATACCAGTATTATAGGATTGTTTGGCTGGTAGCCTTTATCAGTGTTTATAAAGGCGAGCTGCCTTATTAAATCTAGTGAGTGAATGTCAATGCAACATGCTAATGCTGCTTGAATAAGAAGAAAGAGTGAACTGGTGAGTGCTGGTTTCCCCCTTGTTACATTGTGTTTTTCTGAACTTGGCACACTATTAGCTTCAATTGTCTGCAGCAGAGAGCTCCATTTTCCCTTTAATTGAAATGAAGTGAGCCTTTATTGATCCCCGTGGAGAAATAGAAGTGCAGCAGCAGTTTAGTAGCAGTAGCAACAGGAATCGAAATAAAAGTAAAACTTTAACAAATAATGGCTAGATATATAGATAGGTACTTCAGAAAAGCATAATGTGTACAAGATTGCATTATTTACTGTCCACATCAACACACAGGTCGTGTAATGGCTGAGGTATGGTGTTGTACAATTAGATAGCAGTTTGCTTGAATGAAAGGTTAATTTGATTATGCCTGATTTAACGCAATTAAATTCTATTTCTTGTTTTTGTGGTATATTTTCATCACTCGCATATATTTGATGATCTCTTTTTCTATTTCTTGGTTCATTATGCATATTAGGGAGAGAGCCACCCTGCACTCCTCCGTCCTTTGAAGATGCTACCACAGCTTCTATCGCTACCACACTCTCTTCTAACAACTCTTTACCCACCACCCCCTTCGACACACCAGAGCACCCACGCTACAGGAGACAAATGCATTCCCCAAGTGTGGCCAGGTGAGAATAATTGCATGAATATGCAACGATGTGTCTGTAATGGTAATATTCTGTCAAAACAATGTACTGTGTACCCTGTACCTTCCCTGCTGATACCACATATCTTCCTGTGTACTTTCAGGTCACAGAAAGTTGAGTTTCATGGGGAAAAGCAGGACACCATAACAGTGGAGGTGGAGCTCAGGTACACACATATACAGCAATACCATACTAATGTCCATAGCTGCCTGTGTAACAGCATTTTAACAGTGTTCTTTATCTTGCTTCATACAGTAAAATCCCAAAGAGCACGGAGCTCACACAGTTGACAGAAATGGCTTCCCCCAGCCACCTGTCACCCGATCATCAACCCCATGTCTTTGCCCCATCCACCCCTCCCTCCATCAATCCATCCTCGGCACATTCCTCCACCACCCTTCCTCCTTCCTTTGTGTCTTCATCCTCTGCTGCTCAATCAGCTAGCCAGTCATCCTCCACACTTGCTACATCCATCCGTCCATCCACCAAACCACTCACCTCTCCCACAGTGGCTCAGTCTTCCACTCTTTCTTCCCCAGTCTGTCATTCCACTGCACAATCCAAGTTTATCATCTCAACTCCAAACTCCTCCACCCTACCTCCTGCCTCAGCATTTACTCCCATCTGCCCTGCATCTCCTCACTCCTCCATCCGGAGCTCCTCGCACCATCTCCCCTCGACCCCTCCCTCCTCACAGCCTCCAAGCCCCCAGGTGCCTCCGCAGGCGCCGCGTCCATCGTGCAATCAGCTGTCTGTGTCCAGCAGCCACAACTCATTGGATGGGGAGGTGCCGGTGTCTGACATCTACTTTGTAAGTCCTCATTATTATGTATCAGTGCTTTGGTTTTAGTTTGAAGTGATTTTAACTGCTTGAGCTAGGGGTCTATCGTATCAGTACACTGCAGGGATCTCTCTTCAGTGTTGCTTTGTTGTCTGTCAGTTCAGAGGGTAAAGATAATTTTTCCTTTTCTGTCCTTTTCTTTATCTACTGGGTTTCTTGCAGTGGCCCAGTCAGGACAGCGTGGTAGAGTTATGATGGTGAGGGGGAAAGGTGTCTGTGTGTTGCAGTGTGCACGTACTACAGACTCTCGCTGTCCGAAACGCTTTTTTTCCAAAGCACGGGGCTGGCACCAGTCATAGTTCATGCTTTTTTATGCATCAGCAAAACACTGAGGTTGTCTTTCCTGCACTGCATGATGTAATTATATCTGTCAATCTGCATTCATGCACCCTGTCATTGTCATGCCCAGCTTGCCATAATTCACTCTCTTTGTGTGAATTATTTCTCCTTTATATTACATTCATTGTCCATTTTCCACTTTCCTTCCTTTTTTCTCTATCATAACTGCTTCTCTCACCTCATCTTTCTCCTCCATTGTCTAATAATTCATTCAGTTTCCTTTGTTTTCCTGTACCCACATTATATGCATTTGTGTGTTCATCTCTGTGTGTGTGTGTGTGTGTGTGTGTGTGTCCATCCATCAGTATGCAGATGGCAGATATTGGGTGTACTCTCCAGTTCTTGGCCGTCGTAAGCTAAACTCTAGCTCAAGTTGCAATGTAAGTCACCAACAAAGTAGTAAGAGTCATTTGTTCCACATATACCATCTCATTGCTGCTAACTGTTCCACTGGGACTGTCAAAAGCACAGCTGCTTATGGATCTTCAGAAGTGAAAAATAAAGCTACAGTGCATTTCACATGACTTATTTATTATTGAAGTCTACAAAAAAAAGGCATTGCATATGAATAACTGTAGCTTCTAACGGGCCATCATGTGTATTTAAGCATGCATCTTTATGTAACATGTTACCAGTAAACTATTTTAAATCGTCTTGGACCTGCAGATAGTTTACTGTAGCTTTTATTGGATTTGGTCCTTCAAGCTTCTGCCCTGTAGCACGCAGGTAGCACAGAGGAGCTGACAGACGGATTAGTGTTGTCAGTGCTTAGCTAGAATGAAATCTCACTTGAAATCCCCTGTTTACTAAAGCTGCACTTGAAATATTTTAAAGCCCCTGAAAATAAGTTTTCAAATTTTGTGTATTTCCCTATAACATTCAATATTTATGACTAAATAAGCAGCAATGATGTTAAAGTTTGGGGGAACAATTGTTTATTATTTAGTAAAGCGGCTTCAGGAGTTGATGTTGGTAATCTAAGCTAACCAACCCACAACTTTCATCCGATTTTGATTAAAATGTTCTGATTAGCACACAGGAATATGTAACCTATTTCCAAGCCCAGCCACTTGAAACCACAAAGAAATCTCTGATGTAACACAACCAAAACTGTTCTGACGCTTGCAGAAAACTGTGATTATTGAGGATCCCATTTGTCATAATAAGAAGCTAATTTAGAAAATATAATTTTGGGGGGCTTTAAAGTGAAGTTACACCAATCTTAAGCAGGGTATGACATCCCTTATATCTGACCTGTAGACTTTGCTTTTTTCTTCAAATTCAACTGCAGATTCAGACACATCTGCACATAAAGGATGATACTGATACTTTCAAACATAACAAATTGTACTAAATGGTAAATAAGCAACCATAGCCGGACTGTGAGTTCACCTCGTGCAGCTGAAAAAATTCAACTAAATGCTGTTTGAAGCTCCCAACATGCAGAAATTGCACCGGGCAGATTTAAACTTCGGTGGCTGGGGAATGTCTTTAAAAATGTATCTTTCCCCAAATTCTTTCTCATCTTTCTCCTCTTGTCTCCTTTCTTCTGCCGCTGCCCCCTGCTGGCTGTATTGGATAACAGCAGAATCAGGAGGATCGGAGCTGGGTGTTCTCTCCTCTGCACTCCGAGTCCAGAAGGGGCTCAGATGGGGAGAGTGAGACAGTGAGTGTACAGTTTATTGATTATTTTATATATATATATATATATATACTCCTGTTAGCATATCTTACACTTACCCCTGTTTATTTGTCTCTCTGCTCTTTCAGTAACTCACAGTGGAGACAGCAGTGACGGGTGGAGCCAGAGGCTGTCTCCATATACAGAAGCTGTGAGGTTTTAATAATAAAGCCACCAAGGCACTATGAGAATTGTTGTTTGTTACCCAAATTGCATGTGGAAGCTTGTTTTGCCAACAGAGACTAAAGGAATGAACTTACAGAAACATTCAAGTATACAACACTACAATCATGCATATGCTCACATGCACTCAACCAATTTATAGACATACAACTATCAAAATATTATGCAAAAAAATCATAAAGCATCAGTTCCTGGACAATCTGAGTGGCATCAAGCAGAGAAATAAACTAAAATAACAATCAGCTGAGTGGTACTGTGAAAGATTTTGGTGGTTGTTAAGTCAGGTATTACTGCAGCCCCGCTGCCTGCTGTTTTTAGGTTTTTAGTGTTAGTCACGCTGCACTGTGCCAGCTCTGGCTATGCAATATGGACACACACAATGCTGATTTCCCTTCTTGACTAATGCTACTGCAACTACTTCAGAGTTTATTCATGCGTTTATTTTTTACTAGGGGCATGTCAACACTGTATATAATTTTATTTTTTAGCACTTTATCAAAATACATGTGGCTGCAGTCCTTTGAAATCGTACATGTTTTGTTATTTTTGTTTGAAAACACTCAAACACAGATAATGTTTTGTGTGCTGTGTATGCACAGTGTTCTGTTCTTCCAGTGGTGTGTGGTGGTCCACTTCAGAAACTTTGACCTGACAATTAATGGTTGTGTTCAAAATGCCTTATTACAAACTCATTTTCATAACTGTTTTTGATATTGCAGACACATGTAATAAAAAAAATAAAAAAACAACAACACATAGCATTTTATTGTGAGTAAATACCAGGTTTACTGAGTTTAAACAATTCTGCCACCATGCAATTATTCAGGATTTAGAACCAAGAGGTCAAGAGAGAACAAAAGGAAAAAATAAATAAAATGATCTTTTGTAAATGGCAGATAAACTGTGTGTGTGTGTGTGTCTGTGTGTGTGTGTGTGTGTGTGTGTCTGTGTGTGTACATGCATGTAAGTCTGTACGTGTTCGTATGTCTCTGTCTGTGCATGTGTTTGCATGCATATTGATGTGTGATTGGAAGACATGTAAGTGTAAGATTTTTCTGTCCTGCCTATTTGTCAGATTGTCAGAAGGTGTAACTTCCATTTGTTGTTATCAGCCATGCAAGTCGGAACCAGCTATAAGCATGTTGGCTGTGTGAGAGAAATGAAAAAAAAAGGTACCCCAGTCATTAATGAAACATGATTAACCATCTATTACCAACAAACAGAGCTAAACTGGAATAACCTCAATTTTCTATACAGTTTAGTAAGAAAATAAATATACTGTCGCGACAGACAGCATCTTCCTTCATCCATACATGGTGACACTTGTAACACCACTTCCTGACTGTTTGGATAAGCACTGCTGTAACATATTACTGTATTATTTGAGTCTGCTGAAGCTAACCTGCCTGTTTGTAGGCAACAGTGTTTGTAGCTGATCACTGTGTAAAAGAAAATAAAGATTATATTGTGTAAAAAACAACTCATTTTGGTGGATTTTTTAAAAAATATATATATATATAAAAGCAGAATGTATTTTAGCTGTAAAATGTTATTTGCAAAATTAGCCCACTAGAGGGCACCACAATGTCTCAGAAAGTAGAGTTGTTAATCCTGCCCCATCCAGTGGAAACTCATATAGAATCTTTGCTGCACTGTAAAATTAAATTACACAGAGACATATGCCAGTATGTATATGCGCTGTCCATAGGCCATAATTCATTTTATTGTGTTGTTGATGGGCCATAAAAGGGAGGCTCATATTTCATCACATCTCACTGATGTTTTAACTCACACACACATAAAGATATGAAGTCTCGATTGCAGGGGCATTTTTATTTATCTGCACAGGCTTTGCTGCTAAAAAATACACTGAAATAAAAACAGACAAGGATCAATAGGGTTTCAATCAAAACAGCCCATTGGGATCTTAGCTGGCTGTCTGCAGAAATATACACTAACTCTATAAGTACAGTATATATATGCACAGAAACATTTGTACACTAAAGTACAGTCAAGTGAGAGAAAACATGCACTGTAGTCAGAAGTCACCACAGGAAGACATTACAGTGAGTGCAGTGTGTGAATTGTGTTCCTCTATGTGTGCGTGTGTGTGGGTAGTGCATTGCAGTGTGCATATGTGTGTGTGTGTTTTTTATGTGTAAGCCAGTCACTCAGGGTGACAAGTCAGCCATGTCGGGGCCATGATGGAATGTGTGATGGACAAGGATCAGCAGCCACCTTCCCAATTGTCCTGGAATGAAATTGTCCCTCTCCTCTCTTTTTGTCCTTCTACCTCTCAACACACACACACACACACACACACACACACACACACACACACACACACGCCTAATCCTTTTGCTCCTTCTCCTGCTTCCTCAATTCCTTCTTCCTGACATTCAGCCAGGGCGGTATTCCTTCACCAGTCCAGCGGTGCAACTCATTGATTAAGGTGAAGATATGACTAAGGATATAGCTAATGAAATTCTAGAATATTTCTTATTGTCAACAAATACCATGAAAAGATCTGTGCACTCATAGCCTCATATGCAGTTTCTTATTCCTCTGCGCCACAGACTTCCATTGTTGCCCAAAAACGGAGCCACACTGGTTGGTTGACATGTTACTTCATTACGATGAACATAGGCACTAGTTTATTCTGAGTCTCTTTCACACATACACCGTTTTGCTGCCATAAACACCCACTAAAGCACTATATGTGTATCAGTCCGCAGCTGAAAATAGTCCCCAACAAATGCACTAACAACTGCCTGAGTAACGTGCATGTGACGACAGTACCCAGCTGTTTTAGGATATTGTTCGGCCTTCTTTTTAAACCAAAAGCAAATTGATGCATGTCATGGGATTGAAGACTATAATAGATATGAATGTCTTTTTCATGTCAGTTTGATTCTGCACCTCCCCCTGCCTCCTACCAAGTGCATGCTGGGATAGGGATCAGACACCTGTGACTTTGAATAGGATTATCATGATTATCATGAAAAAAAGCACACAGAAAAAAGCCAAGCAAAACATAAAGTAAGAAAGTATTAAATGCAAATGGCTATAAAAACTTAGTTCTAAAGTTCTCATTTAAAAAAGACAAATCTGAACTTTATGAAAATTATGGAGCGGCGGCATCTGTACTTGGGGTGAAATGGGCTGTCGCAAAGCTGAGCTTTCATCTGCAGGAAACATAAACAAATGTCTTTGTTCTTTCAAAGGAGAGAGGGGCGAAAGCCACAACAAACAGGGCCAGTGTGCAGTGTGTGTGTGTGTGTGTGTGTGTGTGTGTGTGTGTGTGTGTGTGTGTGTGTGTGGCACGTGAAAAGAAGCAAAAGGGAAGAGGAACGAGAGACAGAGAGAGAGAGAGAGAGAGATCAAAGCAGGGGGTATGTTTTTGAATCTCTGTGTGGGAGGTGAAGCCTCACCTACCCAGAATGCCTTGCCTCACTCCTTACAGCCCACTCAGGTTTGTGGGAGCATCACATCTCTTAGCAGCGAGCGTCTCATGATGCTACCTCTTCATCAGTCATCTTCAGATATTCTCAGAGAGTCTTGAAACAGCGACTTGGTGTGAACCAGCAGTCAACCTCTGATCTCTGGTACATAACATCCCCTCCCACGCACAGACCAACATGTGTATTCCAGCCACCCTGGCATGGCAATGTACAGAGCTTAAAAATCTACAAAACATGAACAGAGTCTTGTGTTTTGCAGTCGAAGATTTCTACTTAGTTGGATCAGAGCCCATCCCCCCTTCGTCCAATCTCGTGAAGGGATCGAAGCGTCTCTTTTTAACTCAGCGTGAGAAGCTGCAAACAGATGTCTGTCTGTCCACACAGAGGGGATGTGGTGCCCTCTCACACACAGATGAAAAGCCATGAAAGTCTCTGTGTTGCGTTGTCAGTGTCTTAAGGCAGTGTTTATCTTTGGCAGTCTGAAGAAAACAAAGCCATCGATTTCTAATCCTAATCCCCCTCTACTGCTTCTCTCCTATTGATCATCTATCCATCCTTAATGAGATGGAGGGATGGAGGGATGGAGGGCTGATGAAGGACAAAACTTTCCCTGCCAGTGTGCTGCCGTCTTTTCCCTCAACCCATCTCTTTTCAATCCGTCTCTCTCTCTCACGCGCGCGCTCTTGGGGGCTTTCACTAACCTGACGTTCTTTATGGTGGAATGGGAAAATAAATGCAGCCTGGTGATTTTGTAGAGGTCTATCAAACCTGGAGGCTTGCAGAGCTGTGGAGGTTCGCCTAAATATTGAAATTGGATGACATGGATGAATGTGCTAAACACACAGAAGCACATGCATGCATACACAGTGAGAGCGGATTGAGTTTCAGTCCAAACATCAGTAAGGGTATTTCTGTCTGTGTGGTACAATGTCTCTGAGTCAGTGATATTCTCTGACTATGACCCATTACCACTCTGCTCTGCTTATTCACAATATAAGAATCATTTCCTCATCTTGAACTAATATTACTGAAGCTGTGGGGCCGATGATTACCTCTCGGTGGTACTTGCACATGCATATGTCCGCTCTCCTCTCATAGGAGTTTTAGAGGTTTACTTCTTCACTACCAACCTTCATTGACTTATCAGTGCTTATTATTGTCTTATTATGGTTATCTATGGAGTGTATGTGTCGCAGCAGGTTTGACAGGTTGAGCAGATACTCGAGGACTGTGGTTTCTCCAGGACTGTGGTTTAGCTTATCTCTGGCTCACTAACATATGACATTCAGTTAGCTGAATGTAACCACTGAGCACAGGGTGTAAAATCAATTTATACAGAAGTGGTGTTAACAGCTCCACTCTACTGTAAGTCACGTGCAATTTGAACAAGACACCAGAATCCCAGAAGTATCAACAAGATATAAAGGTCTGGGTATTATTTTGGTTTTAAAACCCACAATTTTACTGTTTTGGTTCACTTTTACCATTCTCTTTGATTTCTCATTAATCTTCCATTAATTTCCCACCATGCAGCTGCTTCTTCTGGCATAAAAGCTGTGATATACCCACTGTACGCTACCTGCTCAGGAACAAACAGGAAAAACCTATTGAGTTAATGGACACCCAAAAAGAGCTAACAGGAGGGTGACATTCATCAGAAAGACATAAACACACCTCCAAATCTTTATATCTCTTCTCTTTATATCTATCAATTTTATTAGGGAAATGTACATGTTCTGTTTACAGCTTTACAAAAACAAGAAAAAATTAATACCACAATAGATACCTTTATTCAAGTCACTTGTGTTGCACTTCATTCCTGTTGAGAGCTTCATTTCAGTATACTAGGTATGCTCATTGCACTCCACACCATGGCATTTAGCAGAAACTAAAATTTTCTGCAATTAATTAGAGGTTTGGGATTCAGTGTGTTCATCAAGGACACCTTGGCCGCACACACTTTCTGGCACAGAGATCTGAATGTTTCAGACCAATACAGCAGTGCAAATATGACATTTTCACTTAAATTTGAAGGGCAAGTCTTTAGTGAAGAAAATATCTCATTTCAATTATTATATTCTTAAATTTCCTCTTGTTTACATGGCTATGGAAGACCAGATTGTTATTCTTATCTGCATAGTGTATGTGAGTTACTAACTAGAACAACCTGTTAAATAAAATAACAACCTTCTTAATGTCTTCTTAAGTTTCTCCCCAACTCATTTTGGTTATCACATAAAAGACCAGGACCCTGTGCCTTCTGACGCTGTGACCACAACCAGACTGATTTTCAACTGACCGTTGAAAATATACTTCTATGGACCGACTCAACCCTAAACCTGGACAGACACTAAACTAGATTGTGAGGAAGAGAGGAAAGGCCTGGAACACCTGCTGTTAATGCTGGAGATCCCGAGACGTATTTGTGTTGTTTGTGCACAGACTTGTGAGATTAATGTTAATCACTGTGGTATTCCCATTGGGATCATGGGTAAACAATGGATCTAATGTGGGAGGTCCGCTGTAGACACACCCCACATTCCTTAAGAGTCACCTCTGAGAGCAACTCGGAGACATCCTGGACTTAACTTGAGGTCAGACGCAAATGACAAACAGAAAGAGTGACCCTGAAGAGCTTTCAAAATTAAACCACGTCTAGTTTTTACACAAAAAAACAAAAAAAAACATTGCTTTGCTTGCAAAACTTTGGAGAAATTGGAGGGTTTTGGATAGATTATGCATGTCACTGCAAAAATGGCACCCTGGGGATGTTTCTCCCTAAGTGTGTGATAATGGCTGCAGCAGAAGTCATTAATAGCAGGCTAATGTGTGTCAGATGGTACCTGTCCAGCAGCAGCAGTAGCAGCAGGGGAGAGAGATCCAGGACACGAGTGACTGGCCAGCATAATGAGAGAGACATGGCCTGCCAACTTGGGCAGCTGCTTCTCTAGTGGGACTGAGTAGTGTATGTGTGTGTGTGTGTGTGTGTGTGTGTGTGTGTGTGTGTGTGTGTGTGTGT